CTGCGTCGTGTCTCTGGCTAGGCATATGTACGTACAGTGATTTCTAAGGTTGTGAGTATTTCTTCTGGTGTTTGTCACTTCCAATGTATACTATGCTCAGCATGTAAATCAATCACCCATGGCATATCAGGTGTTTTATTCTCTCTTGCTTGGGTTCTAATAAACCATACAATACATTCCTAAATCCTAGCCCTCAACCTCAAATCCTCAAACGGCAACCCCAAGAACTCCCACATAAAATGCCACCGGTCACTCCCAAAGAACGGCTCCCCCTTTCCCTCCCCATTCACGACCCAAAACCACGGGCACCCAAACGCGCCCAACTCCTTCACGACTCTCGCTGTCGTCGCCGCTAATTCAGCCTTAACCTCAGGCGTTCCGGCAGCGGTGATAATCTTCTGGACTTCCTCGACACTGAACACGTTCCCAAGAGCCTGGGCCAGATTCTCAGACACGGAAATGTCCAATTGACGCTTCCACATCGTCTCGAAGCAGCTCCGGAAGGCCGCCGAGAGGGATTCCTTGGGGTGGTGGCTTTTGATGTAGGTTAGGGCTCTTTGGGGCTGGATTTGGGTGTTTATTCTGTTAGTTTGCTTCTGTTTTTTGCAGGCCTGCATATATAGACTCTATGGGTCCTGGGGTACTATAGTATATACTATAGTATATCCAGTACTGGGAAGATAAAAATACACCTACCAAAAGCGACAAGATCGGCCACCAGGGCGGAATCTCGAACTCATGGCCGAAGTATTTCTGGGCCCGTTTGCCGTCGTACTTTGAGTAGGCGGCTTTGGCGGGGAGGGTCCAGGGGGGTTTGTTTCCTTTTTTTTTTTTCCCCCGATATCATGCTTAGTGAGGTGTTTTTCTTTTATTGCTTGCTTTTGGATCCTCCCTCTCGGTGGGAATGTGAAAGAGTGAAAGAGAGAGAGAGAGAGAGGTGTATAAAAACCTACCACTGCCTACATTGATCCCGCCGAGAAAGACGGGGATATACCTACGAGCAAAAATCAGCATAACTCCAGCGTACTGGAAACAAATAGAGTATTACTAGTACATACTCAATCTCAACGCCTAGACTCTCCAACGCAGCTGCATTCTTCTGCAGATACGTGAAGGCGTAGAAGCTGTATGGCGACACTTTTCCATGTGATTGCTATCAGCGATTGATTCAGAGGTGGTGGTTGTTGTTGTTGTTATTGGGATAATGGCCTACCGCAGTCCAGGTAGCATTCGATTTTCTTGCCCATTCTTTTGGTTTCCCGGGTGGAGTGTTTTTTTTGGGGGTTGGTTGGTTGGGGGGTTTGGGGTTGTTTATGGGGGGACGCTTTTGAGGTGTTGATCGGTGGGGATTAAATGCCGAGGTCTTGCGTTTGGCCGACGTCGGGTCGGCTTGGGGTGGTGCTGGGTTGCACAACGTGATGGGTATTTGTATTCACTGGGTGTTATTTGAGGGGATGCAGGATATGGGGAGGATATTTGGATTGGCTTGTGGGATCTGGGTTAACTGGAGTCGGTGTTGTCTTCATCTATATGGTTCTAGGGGTTTTATAGCATGTTTTCAATGGTAAGCTGGGCTATCCGTGCAAGATACTTAATAGTGCACATTCAATAGGATATATATAGATATATATATATTATATATATATATTTCGACATTACTAAAGTAAATGCAACTCTATCTACATCTTCGCCCGCAGCTTCGTACTGTCCATCCTCATCCCCTCGTCATCCTGTTCGGCTACTTCCAGCACTGGCAGGTCCTTTGGCATGATGCGTCGTGGATTAGAACCCGGCACCACCGAGTACTTCGAGAAATCCGAGACTCCGCAGTATTGGCGCAAGAAGTCCTCGTCGAGCGCCAACATTCCGTTCACGGTCGTTGAAGGCGTATTCAGAATGCCAATAACGGCGTCGGAGAAGACAGTCTGCGTTGTCTGGTTAGCTGTGTGATATCAGTAATGCTGTCAATGAACTTACCGGCTTCCTAAGGTCGGCTTTACGAGAAGGGTCTTTCGACGTAGTCACTTCCGTTGCAGCTGATTCGGTGCTCTGCATGTGTAAGTCATAATCTGCACACAGTTTGCGCTAGGTAAGTGACATACCGTAGCTGGCCAAAGACTGGTAATCGCCATATCCGTATGACCCTCTCTCACAAAATCCATCGCAAGACCTCGGGTAAGAACGCTCATCGCGACTTTGCCTACGGAGTATCAGTATTACATATTCCCTACCGTAACTGAATATCGACAGTGAGCAACATACCCATAGCATAAGCCGTCTTCCCCCTAAAAAACCTCGAATAGATAGGCGGCGACACAACGATAATACGTCCCTTCCACCCATTCCTCTCAAACTCAGGCAGCGCTGCCTGTACACTAGCATACAGCCCCTCAGGGTTGACCCGCTGCATAAGCTGAAACCGCTTCGTGGGCGTATTCGCGACAGACGACCACCAGATTGCGCCGGAGTTGTAGACAAGGACGTCTAGTCTTCCCGCAAGACGCACAGTTTCTTTCACCATGTTCTGAACCTGGGAGACATCGCGGACATCAGCCTGGATCGCAAAGGCTTTGCCGCCGGCTTCTTTGATCTCACGCTCAACAGTGGCGATTGTTGATTTGTTGGAGTTGGGGTCTGGTGGGAACGGGACTGTCTCATAGGCGTTGGATGTGGTTTTGGCTGCCACGACGACTGTGGTTCCCTTTAGTTGTTGTTTTTGTTGATTGATTACCGTGAGTTGTTGTGGAGGTACATACCTGTGTAGTCGTTCTTTGCCAGGTCAATGGCGATTTGACGGCCTAGGCCCCGTGAGGCGCCTACAACTAGGGCAACTGGTTTGGGTGATGTCATTGTTGAAGATGGACTCTGTCGTGGCTTATAGTAGGCAATCGTAACTTCCTCGCGAGGTCGCGCAACTAACCTACTTATATACGATCATGGACTTAATGTGAATATTTAACCCAGGACCCATCCACCTCACGTTTATCCTCGGGACGTGGGCTGTTTTGTTTGTCATTCTCGAATCCCCGACCGAACTGCTGGATGCCGACCCGAGCTCGGCTCGGCCCATACAACAGCATTATTAATCTCCACCGCGAGGAGACTATACATGATATTCTCACATATTCACTGCGCCAGTTTTGACCGCTCTGATTTTGAAGGCTCGCATTGGGTGTTACTGCAGCTGAAATACTGCCTATACTTTCCCTACTCTAATGGCAGTGTTCAAGAGACCTTCCAAGAAACTTTAGGCCTATCAAACAGGGCAACGTAAACCATTTTGAGGACTTCGACTGTGTCCCAGTTGAAAGGGTGCTGTGCAGTATTTTACTACCCTGTCTTGTAGTATTGTCCTCGATGTTCGTTTCCGGTTCGTCGTCCAGAAAGAATAGGGGATCCAAGTCCACATGTACTCCCTCCAAGCAACCAAACACATTGTTGTAATTTGCAAGAGCGGAAACATCAGCGTCGAGATTCAATGTTGCTTTAGACACCCACGACCTCTCAGGCTGACCTTCAGTGGCAATATTTCGTCACTCAACTCAATCGTGGCCGTAGAAGCTTCATGCCGTCGATTCTTAGTGATGTGCGACGATTCAGGCCTGGAGTTATTGTGCCCAGAGCACAATTCGAACGCAAACTTGTTCGATAACCGCTAATGTATCACCAAGCAAGGCCACCGATACGGTTCTCAGTTACATTCCAAATAGGCAGATGTAGTACTCAAAGTAATTTGAGTTCTAATAACCCAGATAATCAGGTACCACTGTCTGTCCCCTGCGAATTCCCAATTCGGATAATCTCTCGAAGATTTCGCAGCACCGCAGTAGGTTCGCAGCTTTCTAGCGCATCTTCGGGACCGCCTTGAGAAGTATCATCAACACTACCGGGTGTAGAACTAGAGGCAGACCCAAAGCGCATGTCTCCCACTCCACGGGATGCGATATCCGAACCCTGAGACTGAAGCAAGGCAGTTTGTCGCCTCTGAGTTTCTCGCGCCAGGATCTGGAATACAACTCTGCTCTGCGGAAGGACAACCTGTTGTATTCTTGGCCGTTTGAAGGATGTTGGTCTCCGAGGTGCTTGGGGGTCGCCTGATTTGTCCCCATATGCACGTTTGCGACAATCTTCCACGGCGACCGACAGTAGTCTGTTAAAATGCTCTGGAGTTGTCATTGTCTGGAAGAATTCCAAGAATAGCGTTGCGATGGGCCATGTCTTGGATAATGCCTCTAGTATTTCGAGATTGGATTCCAGTTTCAGCCTGATACCATGTAGGAGAGATGGTAGTGAAGCATCCATTTGATGTTTCAAGGTAACGATGGACGTTACGGCATGACAGATTCTGTATACTGGTTAGGAAATTGCAATATAACACAAGTGCACAGGGGCAACATACACGAATGTAGGTGAGTATTGAAGCTCATTATGCGAGAGAAGCGTCTCCAGGATTGAAACTATGGTCGACGCAGCATGAAACGCCGAGCTCTGGGATTCCTTGGATGAATACGGGGCCTGCAGTAAATGCAACTGGCATACGATTGTGCTGGACACTGTTAGCACACCACAAACTCTCTGCACAATAGACAACTTACTAGAACGTGGAGAATAGCACCGCTGACAGAAACGTATGGCGCGTCTGCCTCCAATGTAGCTCTGGCGGACAAGCTACGAGCCACTCATTCAACCCAAGCTCGCATTGCGCCGCTCCGGCGCTCCGGGCATCTTGAGTGGATCTTGCGGACAGATTCAAACCTAAACCTAGATCCATAAGTTGGCAGAGTTTGACATACTCCATGAAGAACCTAGCCTGAACTTCACCTTTCGGCTCAGATGATGCATTTCCATCATGCTCGACAAAGTCACTCTCTATCAGTGGCTCTACTGTGCAATCACTTGGATTAATATGCAATGGCCTGCCAAACGCCGCGGCCACAGAACGGTCTCGGGTATACAATGTCCACCATATCCGTTTGCGGAGGCCTCGTTGTGATGGCTGGAGGCCAGTGTATCTTTCACTGTTTCACTTAGTTGAAATCGAAGATCACTGACTGGAGATTTTACCTCTCATGTAGTCCAAGCTCCTGTGCCAAAGCAATACCCAACCGGCTCCAGTAGAATATCCCGCTTTCAGTAAGATCTTTGAGCAGTCAACACCACTGAAAGATGAATCAAGATGGTCGTGAAGGCATACCGTCAGGGCCTTCCCAGTAAGCACCTAGCAAGATCACAGATTGGACGACAGTTATCTGGCTGGTTTCATAGCCAGCGTCATATAGCGCCTTAGCTTTCTTATAGAACGTGCGCGGCGGCACGGTATACTCTTTTGAGCCCTGCTGGTTGATACAACATCGCGATGCAACCATGAGCATCGCTTGTAGCAGTAGAATAGACGGAGGATCTTCCGCGCTATTATACTGCCTCATGAAAGCATGATGATCTACCACTGGCAGTATTGGCGCTACCCATTTGAAGAATACGTCCACAAGCGTATCCTGGACAGCTTTCGGCGGGAGGCCAAAGGCATCCCGACGGTGTAAAATTTCGAGTTCAAGGGGCTCCAGGTGATCGGGATGGCATATTGAGTGGTATTGTGCCATAGAGACCGATTATTGATAAATCAGTCGAAGAAGAATAGAAGGCACCGAAGTGAAGTTGTACACAATTGTGTCTGGTCTGCTTATCGACCGTCGTATCACACACCCTCGGCTCAATCCTGATTGGCTGGGATCGATTGTATGGTCCAGTTTACAGTTAATATCTCACCGCTCTGGCAGAATTTCTTCCATTCTCGCGCCTCTGTATGAGTATCACCGTCCCTATACTTTGCGACTCATTCCAATTCAGTTGAAAGAAATTATTTCCGGCCAGAGAATTATGTCGGCCGATCCAGCTACATTACAGGACCTCGACCTCGAGGACGAGCAGTACGACTCTGCCGATGACGAAGACTTCCAGGTAGACGCGGCCCAAGACGACGACGGCCTCACTGGTTCCGATAGCGACGAGGAGGCCACAGAGCCCGCGGCCAAAAAGCGCAAGGCGGGAGAGAAGGCACCGGGGCAGGAAGACAACAGTCTCGATTCGGGCGACGAAGCGACGATTAAAAAGGCCAAGGCAAAGAAGGCCAAGAAGCAGAAAGGAAAGGACGAAGACGGAGACGATGAGGATGATGTCGATTTTGACGACGATGAGGGCGGCCCTGGCGGCTTCGTTCGGACACGAGCCATGAAGATGCGAACGTGCGCTCCCCTGCCTCTTCTGTTTGTTGCGTCTGGTTAGTACTGACTTTACCTTTGTATAGCCAGGAAGAGCGGAAACCTCTCGCGAAGATCGACGGAGCAACTGTCGACGTAGATGCGTTGTGGGAGAAGATGAACGCCCCTGATGTGACTATAGATCTCCATCCCTCGCAGGCTGAGAAAACAAACGATACCACGGTCCAAGAGAACAAAGACGCGGAGATGCGTGATGGCGATACCCCCGTCACCGAGGAAAAGCGACAAGCGAGTCAATACTCGGAGGAGATGGTGAAGATCAAGCGTACCTACAAATTCGCGGGCGAATGGATTACAGAAGAAAAGATTGTTCCTAAAGATTCAGCGGAGGCCAAGCTTTATATGGCCGACGAAAAGGATGTCGAAACGGTGACCGCCGCCGAGAACGCCACAGATTCTAAGAAAACTATCAAACTCCGCAGACCCCTTCGAAAGGTCTCCCGCTTTGACCCGAATCCAACTGGATCTATCAAGAAGAGCTGGGAGAAGCAGGCTGTCTCGGAAACAACTGGAGGGGAGAATGTTCGTGGTCCCAAGATCAACACCGTCGAGAAGTCGCGCTTGGATTGGGCTGCGTACGTCGATCAAGCCGGCATCAAGGACGAGCTCAGAACCCACAGCAAGGCCAAGGAAGGTTTCCATGGTCGTATGGATTTCTTGGATCGTGTTGGTGCCAAGCAAGAGGAAGAAAGAAGAAACGCGCGTTTGAAGGGGCTGTAAAGGACTTGTCGAACCTCTTTCTTCGCTTTTGTGCGTACGGATTGGTCCGGATTGAAACTACTTTGCTCTATTCGATGCGCCTAAATACCGATCTGTTTACTGGTCCATTCAACCTGCGTTGCCCTCTCCAGCTTCGAACAGGATCGGTATACATGAGACGTTCCACGGGATCATATGGCGAATACCTAAATCCTCGTTGCTCATGTGAGCTATGAGCTCGCTGACTATCAGCTCGAAGGATATCCATGTGTGCGTCGTCTACTGCTGTTGAGCGGTAGTAGTCAACTCAGACTAGTAGAGACGCACGTATCGCACCTACAGCTACCCTACACCTATAGGGACGTCCGATTTATTCCGGACAGGCATCGCTTGGTCGAAGCGATACAAACTCAAGAGAACAGTTGTATCAAGCTGATGGCCTTGAGGTCTTCGCATCACATCAGGTACGATTCATAACAGCGAGGGTACCAACACTGTGAACAAACTACTGCAAGGGCATTGTGACAAGTACACATAGCTCCACATACATCAAAGTCTCCTAATGATTATGTACATACATCATTACACAACCTAACGCATCAGTAGACTTGCAATACTCGTAAGACATACAACGTCCATCTTCTAAGCATCTTAGTTGAAGCGAACAGACTGGCTAGCCTTGTCACTACGGAATTTCCAGGCTGGCGCGGTGGAGTTCTCGCTCTTCTTGGGCAGGTACTTAATACCAGAGGAGGAACATTTAGTAGTCGTAACTGGCATCGAATTAGCTCACTTGACATATAATAAAGCATGGGCTGGAGACACTTACGAGTGTCAATTGGCTGGTACTCGCCGGTGATCGCATTGCCCTTGGTGTTATAGAAATACCAAATCTCGTTCAGCGCACCGTCATCGCAGCCGATGTAGGGCTTCTTGCCGTCATGAATCGCGGCAAGAGCAGATTCGATCTCAGCCAGTTTGTAGGTCTTGGAGGCATGGGGGACGATGCCGGCTTTGGCGAGGGCCTAGGATTGTTAGGCATGGTTTCGCAAGATCGAAGAGAGATAGATAGGTATGAATTGAGGAGAGGGGGAAGAGAGGAGAGATAAACGAAGAGAGAAATATGACAAACCTTGTAGCTGTCCAGACCTTTGAAAAGGTCTACGGTCTTCGCCAAATAATCAGCCACTTCCTTCTGCGGGGTGTAATCCTTGTAGCAGCTTGGTTCAATGGTGTTGATGCAGGTACCTTTTTGTTACACGGAGTTAGCAATCGACAAGCCTTAGAGTGGCGCCTACAGTCCTGTCGTGTAATTGATGCTTACCGTGCTTGTTCCACTCGTGCTCCCAGAATTCTTCATCCTCGCCCTCATAGTTGGGCCAGTATTTCTTCATGTAGGACAGAAGTTCGGTCTGACCCTGCTCCTGAAGAATTGCGGTGATGTTCGAGTACTCGCGCGACTTGTCGCAGTATTGCTCGTAGCTGCCATCGCAGTTATCAGGCCTAGATATTGTCAGTTTTGCTCACCGTGTATGATGGTTTCAGCACCTACCAGAGACCGTGGATGGTCCAGGAGTCGGAGGGACCAGCTGGAGGATCTGTGTCCCAGAACTGTGTCTGCAGGAGGGCGCCTCCCGGCGAATTGAAGCAGCAGGAGTCGGCTACTGCGGTCGAGTTCTGACAGCTGAAGGGAGTATCCTTCGGGCAGGACGGGAACTCAAACACTGCACCCGCAGCCAATTGCATGGCACTAAGGGCGAGCATACCCATAGAGGGGAGAGAAGGGGTGGAAAGCATTGTCAAGGAAAATGAACGGATACAAGCCCTAGCGGGAGAAGATGAAGAGAGATGGCAATGGGAGAGGCAGGCATTGCGCCTATTTATTTAGCAGGGGCCCCATGTGGTCTACAAAGACCAAGAAAACAAGCGTGTTTATTGATCAACAAGGAAACACCTCGCTTCGATCCACTGACTGTAGATAGCGGCACATGTCATGATAAGAGCCACCTGATTTGAGGGGAGATAGAATCGACCGGCGGATAATAAAAAGCAATAAGGATCGGACAAGACCGTCAAGACCCGCTAATCTCCTGATTCCGTTAGCCACTAAATATCGACCACCGAGAGCTTGCAGCCAATTGCAGAGCGTCTCGTTGGTTTGGAGTAGCAACCCAGATGCCGTCGGGGCGCCTTCGGTCGAAAGCCAAAGGAGTGGACGGAAAACTCAGGGCAATGTCGATCGCGGGCGATTGCTTGAGCACCATGTATCAGAACGTTGCATCGGCCAACTGCACCATTCGTATTCTCATTCTGCTTCGCTAGAGTTTATGAGTATTATCTCCCTGCACATCTCTTTTAATTAAACCGTCGGGTACACGTGTCTGTCGAATTGTTGTGAAGGGCTAAATAAAACATCGGCCCGCTCTTTAGCTTCGGTCGAAAAGCGAGCTAAAACAGAACGGCGGCGGGGAGAAGAAAAGACGAATGAAATGGTTTCATAAGAATACAATTTCATTAGGGGTTATTTGTGTGACAATGCGTCCGTTAGGCAAAATGGCCATTAGACCTCCGAGAGAACAAAAAGTGATGCAAACCCCGGCAATCACAGTAACAGAGAGGTCTATGTTCTTCGCTCTTGCATGCAACTCCTCGAGCGATTATTCCAATAAAAGACTTGGCGCAACAATATTGTAAGCGAAGGCCAGAGAGATTAACAGCCCTCGCTGAGACCAGCTCTGTGGGTTCACATGCAATGATATGACTTCAGCAAGATAGCGGAGAATCACCTGCAAATGTACAGAATCGTGCCCCCCATGTTTGACTGTATATGCGAACCGAAGCAGTGGTCGCCAAATATCATGGGAGTGAGAAGGCATCCTCATCTTCCAAAAGGATGATCAGTTAGCAACCGGTCAGTCCGGTCGCTATGGAGCCAACGAGGGGGGAAACCACGCATTTAACAGCTGGCACGTCATCAGGAAATCAAAAATTTCTATTTCACGATCGGAGACAAAACATGATAACCAAATCCAAATGCGACATCTTCAGTAACATTCGAGTCCGTCCGAGGATCTGGGAATTGTGATGAGCATTGACGCTGGTTGCAACCCAAAGCAATCAAGTCACAGAGAAGAAGGAACACGGCGTGTGCTCTGCATTTTCATGATGGCTGCATAAGCGAAAAGGGAGATGCTAGTAATATTTTCGCAAGCTCCTGCGATCATGAGGTCATCACCAGATCATTTGGCGAGGAATGTTTGGCAAATATAATAAGGCGAATCTGAAGAAGATGGGGTGAGAGTCCGAGATAACGCGAATGCAGTAAGCTTGGTGTCGCATGAGCCAGCCTGAGGCTGCCTATTTAAATGCCCAGCCCCTCCCAAACACATGAAGGCACAAGAAACACAAGCCCTGTGTTTTCCTACTTCACATTAGCAATGTATTTGCAATCATGCCTCATCCGCGGATAACCGGAAGACCGATGTGCCGATTGATTGAGTCATAACGCCGTCCGACACCGGAAAACCGTGTTGGGGTACTCCGTATAACTATGGAGAGGATATGCTACAGGTCACAAATTGTGAGATCTAAACCCAAAAACCGGGGCCACTGAGTTGAAGAATACCGGCTACCTTTCCCATCAGTGACAATACAGCACTCCTTTCCTTCGGGCCTAAGTCAACCCCCGCGGTGTTCCGAGATTTCAATCCACAATATCAAATTACAATGACGAGCAACAATCCACCATTTCGAATTACCCCGGCGCATAACACAGAACATTTCGAAGCAGCCAAAGCACTTTTCACGTCGTACGCCGAGTGGCTAGGTCTCGACCTTACCTTCCAAGGATTCTCCTCCGAGCTGCAGTCACTTCCTGGGCAATATGCGGCACCCCATGGCGAATTATTACTAGCTTATAGTACAGAAGGTGGTATCCCTATTGGATGCGTGGCTGTCCGGCCTCTCAAGCAGAGGCCGGTAGAAATGCAAGGAGACGTTCAAAACGATAGAGGATACTGTGAGATGAAGAGGTTGTATGTCTCTCCCGAAGCACGGGGAATAGGACTGGGGAAAGCCTTGGTGAATTCCATCGTTGAGAGGGCGAAGGGTCTCGGATATAAAATGATGATACTCGACACCCTTCCCTCGATGATGGGTGCCATACAGCTATATAAGAGGGTGGGATTCGTGCAAATAGCTCCTTATTATGAGACTCCCTTGGAGGGGACGATCTTTCTTGGGTTGGATCTTACGCCGAATTCTTAGACAAAAACCAGAAGATCAGTCTGAAATGCTTGCCTGAAGAACATTGAGATCAGTAGACACACTCCGATGCTAACTAGAGACTATGAGTTAGCAATATTTCAAGTCAGGTACCCAATCTGGGGGTCAAATAATTTCTCGTCTTGAATGAAGTCCCTACGAAAGAGTACGGAGTACACCCACTCAACTACTTAGATTGACCAAACATCGAGCCAACACAGCATTGAGATTGGAGTACTCATCGCAGATGCCTGCATCATACCAAGAGCTATTTGTTCTCATAATCTAAGAGACGATTCAAGCAAGTAGTATTTCTTCGTCTCTATGCAAAATCGCGTAGAAATTGTCGAGTCGAGCTTGTACATAACCACATCAACGGGGCCCGAACAAATCTTTTTATGATAAAGCAGTGCGAGACTTCGTATAATGATAGAGCGATATAGAAGACAAGATTTGTGAAGAATCGGTGGTTGTGAGCCAGTGAGACTGTGAGCAATTTAGTTCCTCCTTGGTAGACTTAAACTAGTAAGGGCGCTTGCATTAAAAGGGGTTATCGCTGAGAGGTCATGCTCATACCTTGATCAACGACTCCGGATGCTGTTTCTCTACGGAGCGGAAGAACATGACCGTAAGAAGACTCCCAACATCAGGCAGGGACAAGTGCACCATTTTACGAACAAACAACCTCACCCCATTTGCGAAGTCAACGAGGTCAGGTCGACAACTTCGGAAACCCCACAAGTCCTCTCAAAATCCAACCAAATGGCACACAGATCCTGGGTGAGGGCAAGGCGAATACTAGCCATGCTGAAGAAGAGGATCACCCCTCCATGCATATGATATCATATAATCAGGCTCGTAGCAAACCAGTTTCTGCAGGCGTAGGGAAACCATCTCACCGGTATCCCAGCAGCTGGCTATTATTTGCTCATCGAACAGGGGGCCAGGAAATGATCTTTGCAGCATGTCAAGTAAGGACGGGGTAAGGAGAACCATTGATCCTGTTCTAGCAGGATTCCGGTGCAGATGGGTGTTGAGTCGGTGAGGGAAATTACTCGAAATTAAAATCATTCTCACCTGACCTCGGATGTCTTGTTTCCTGCAGGGTTTTGTCCAACGGCTCACTCGAATCACGCCGGCGGTAAGCCGTTTAGTGTATGTATGGACTACTAGTACTATCAGCACTACCACCACAATGGGTTGGCGGTATGGTTCATGCAAGGCTGCGCCCGCCCATGCTCAGCCGTTCTTTTTTTTCCCTGGGATCGGAATTGGATTTAGAAAGCTTCCGCCGCATGATAAACTATCATCCGACATGACTTCGGAATTGTAGGATTGAGCTAAGAGAGCCAAGAGGTAGTATCCGAATGCCGCGCACTGTGATGGTGCTTAAGTGAACTCCGATAGCGAATATTGTGTGTATGTCGTGAAGCTGAATATGTTGTGCAACTATCATAGAACTTAACAACACCCGGAGGTTGGCCAATCAGTGGGGGCATCAACAAAAAAGCGCATCGAGAATGCTACCTCGCATGACATGGCGGTTGGGACCAAATACGGATCGACCGTGGTTCATCAGTTCCTTGGAACCAACGAAACTTGAGGGAATCGATACCTGGTAGAGCGATGGTTACATTCCATGCACAGTATAGAATGTCCGTGCAGTGGTATATTTTTGTCGAGGTTATACAAGCTGGAGAAGGTGAAATTCCCACTGGGTTGGTCAACTTCCTGTCGGGATTTAGTGGTTGTACCACAGTACATCCTCATCGATCACTACCAACGGTGGTAGGTGGAATCTTTTTCCTCTGATCCACCGAGTAAATAATTCGTCCAGTTCGCACGAGTCATGGAATGTAGTACAAACGTCAGACAAGTTACGACCTGAGACCGACGCGAGGTACCTGGTACGTCGCCATCGGTGGCTGAAGGTGTCTAGACCAAGTATCAGGTTCACCTCAGCATATTCGCCAAGCTCACCAGAGACTAGTGTGGCCCCGCTTCCTCGCAGATCATCCCGCCTGTGATCTAATACCGGAGATGATGTGGTACCAACACTGATCTTGGTATGGATAGCCATTAATTTGTGGAACAAACTAAATAGTAGGCGCGCTCAGGCAGGTGAGACAAAGTGGTTAAATAGGAAAGGAAACAAGGAAGAAAGCGTGTCTAGCGACACATAGTACGATTCGGAGTGGGGTTGGATTAGTAGAAAGAAATACACAGAGAGAAGATGGGTAAAAACAAGAAACCGCCGACGTCCATGGGTACTTCCGCTATAATCCGGACGATATACTGGATTCTACGGAGTACTCATGTGGTATGGAAAGGTGATACGCGCCGTGGAAATCGTGATGGACTTGTAAGCCATCCGTCTTCCTTTGGAAATGAATGATTCAGAAGTTTAACAAAATAAATAAGAAGAAGAATTATGAGATAGCATGAAAAGGAGGCAAAAAATAGACACGATAAAAAAAAAGAAAGAAAAAGAAAAAGAAAAAGAAGAGAAAAAAGAAAATAGGGTTACTATGGAAAGATCGACGACTAGTCGTGTACTGTGTCCAGTACTACTACTGACAGACCATCAATGACTGAACCGGCCACACTCGTTGGCGGAAAAGAAGCTGGAAAAGACCATCAATCGTACGCAATGGCATGTGGGGACTATTGTCCATTAAGCTCAAGCGAAATCCCGGTTTCTGGAATCCTTAGCTGAATGCCCATAATTCCGACGTTGGCAAATAGCAGTCACCCAGCGGTGGTTAGTCAGTTCGGCCGGCGAGGTCTAGTCCATGACTGTCAATACCCGGTGGGTTTTGACCTATGACGATCCTTGCCCACTTGTCGGGGACCTTTTGAAGCATTGTCAACAACTTTCCTGGGTTTCTTGGTTCCGCCAATAGGGACAATGCCATTGGTCTGGAATGGGGGCTAGTGGAAATAGCAACAATCAGTGGGGCCGGATCGGCGGCGGTTGGACCTAACCAATGCATGTATGTACCTACTTTAGTACCGCTGGGTATAGTCATACATCCTGTACGGAGTACATACATACATACATACGTGACGTTGGGCACATACCTCCTGGTAGGCGCTAGTGTGGTCGGATCAGATCGGATCGCTCAGCCCCATGTCGATATCCGAAGTAGGTCCAGTACACTGGAACTTCTCGCTCAACGGGGAATACCAATGGCCCCCAGACCGGCGAGCCAGAGACCCCTCTCCCCCCAAACCCCACACGACACGATACGGAGAACCTGGCGTGTTTGTGGAGGTCCTCCCATGAGATCCTATGTCCTACCTATCAGTCGGTTGGATGAAGGGATCGACACGCAATTAACTTTGTATTGATGATAGCACGCTAAGCCACAAGTGAGCCGCAGAAGCTGATGCATCAGAAAAGTCGAGAGGGGCCACAATACGAGATCAAGAACCACGGAGACGAAGTCATAATCAAGTTTGTATTTCTTTTCCTGGATTTCAATTCATGTTTAGTCTCTAGTAATAGATTATTTCATGTAGCGTTCAGCAGACAATGGACCAATCAGATCAATAAAATCCACATGGCCACACCTCAGCGTACAGTAACCCCTTTTTTTTGTTGGTTCCTCCCAAGGATGTCGAATTATTCGGATGTAGATTGAAAACCTCTTCAAGAACAAAGGAAATGAAGAAAAAGGAAATAAAAAAACAAAGGAAAATATGCAAAACGCCCAAAAGGGTAAAATGTAAAAGGAAAAACATAGAAGATAGAATCGCGTCAATCGGATATAATCAGAGCTGTTTTACAGAAACGCCGCGAAGCGCCGACCGAGACCTCCCAGGCCCGTGTGTCAGTGGCCATCTAAAGACAAAAGAGAGTTAGGGTGTGAAAGGGTATCATATAAGGATCCACCCGTAATGTCCTTTCGTACCGTGAAATTTAATCGTCTAACACGTCAACACTGTATTCACGAGTATCCGGCATAGGATCATCTAGCGTTGAGCCGCGAATTGGGCGCCCATCCAATGTAAGTTGTCCCCGGAAGTCCGGGTCGTAGTCTGGGCTGCTCTCATCAAGCGTGGCAACGTATCGGTTGCGACCACCTCGCTTGCTATGTGTTTTGGTATAATGGGCATTCAGGTTGTCACTGCGAGAGAAGGCACGCTCGCAGTTAGGGACCCAGCATACATGAGGCTTCTCTTTTGAGTGGCTCTTCATATGTCTCTTCAAATGCTCTTGCCTCTTGAAGCGACCTTTGCAACCGGGTTCCTTGCACTTGAACTGGACCTGTTTAATAATAGATGGCAGGTTCTCCAGAGACATGTTCTGTCGAGAGGACTGCTTCCTGATCATCTTTCTTGACGGATGACGTTGGAGGCGATTAAGACCGTCACGGAATGGTGGTGACTGCTGGAAGTCCTCCAGGTAGTCTCCGGCCCCACCGGACAAGCGGCTAATGGGTGTGTCGGGGCCAGATGCGGTGCCAATGGAGCATGAACGAATTGGCGTTGTAGGGCTGTGTGTCTTGAAAGTCTGGATAGACGTAGGGAACTCAGAGTACGAGGGTGGCGGAGTTACTGGACCGACCTGAGAGGGGGCTATGGTTTGAGGTGCGATTGACTCGGTGGCCTGAGGGATCCACGGCATCATGTTCCCCATAGACATAGATGGGGCCACCCTCTCAGCATGGTGGAAAATTGATCGTGATAAGCAAGGATTAGTGGCAGCCTCTGGCAGATACGCGGCATGAGGCCGATAGTTACTCCGAACCATAGGAGGGCAATGGGGCAGAGTGTGGGGGTATGGGAGGCTGTGTGTTCCGGTCTCATAGGTTTTCGGCGCATCCGATGGAAGCCAAAAGTGCTCCACGTTATCATCGTAAGCGGACAGAAAATCGGGCATAGGCATACGTTCCTGTGCTTCCATGCCACCGTAGGACATACCCAGATTCTCATGTGAAGTCATCCCCGCCAGGCGGAAGGCACTCCGCATGGGCGTATTTCCAGTATGCCGCTCGTAG